TTTTTAACATCATTGACCTATAATGCACCAAGCTGAACAAATGCAGTTCATGGCACACTGAGCTATTGCTTCAGAGTGAAAACTCAGAAAAACATTGCCGCAGTTTACACTGTTGCTTTTATTACCAAATCAGCTAGAAATGTGACTTTTATTGTAGACTGTTTTGATTCTGAAACACAACTCTGTATTCCAGGCAGGATTTTTTAACATCATTGACCTATAATGCACCAAGCTGAACAAATGCAGTTCATGGCACACTGAGCTATTGCTTCAGAGTGAAAACTCAGAAAAACATTGCCGCAGTTTACACTGTTGCTTTTATTACCAAATCAGCTAGAAATGTGACTTTTATTGTAGACTGTTTTGATTCTGAAACACAACTCTGTATTCCAGGCAGGATACCAAGGCAAATTCTGCTGCTGAAGAATCACGGAATGCAAAAGCTGTGGTTACAAATGTGTTATTAGGCTCCAAATTCCCAGCTGTAAAAATAAGCTCACTTTGGTGAGCAGTATTAAACAAGTGCAAATATATTCAGTACCCCTCAGCTTTCATACATTTCCTTCATGTTCAGATCATTGTAGTCCAAGTTTATTCAGTGAGTTTATTTCCAGTTTTTGAGATGATCTAGAAATGTTTCAAACAGAACTCTTTCTCCAGGAAGAAAGAGTAGTTGTTTCTCAAAACCTCATATAAAAGAATGTCTTGTTGAACCCATTTCTGATATTCAAAATTAATATAATGCATACCTTAAATAGCAAATAAAAATCCACACTAAGGATGTTAAGAGGCGTGTAATCCACTAATTATGTAGTTGATAACATTTTTATTGAGTACATGATTAATCAATAAAGGAAGGCTGCTGCCCCTCTGCAGATGAAATGTAATAACAGCTGGGCGCGCAGGCAGCCCAGCTCCTATTACATTTAAAATCCAGCGTCACAGTGGGGGTAGGTCCCACACTGAGCATGAGCCATGACTGAGCTGGGCTTCCCCAAGCCAGGCTTGCACCAGGTGCAGCAGCCCCTGTCCAGGGGAGCGTCCCAGCAGGGAGCAGAGTCCCCAAGTGGACGGGGCTGCTGCTGGAGCAATGTCTGTCCATGGCAGCTGGCTGGCTGTGGGCAGAGGCTGCTCTCTATTGTGAGCAGGATCTGAGATGGGCTTGCTCAGTCTGGGTCCAGGAGCTGCTGTCGGAGCAGTCTCTGTTCATGGCCAGCCCCAGCCACTGTGGGCAGAAGATGCTTCATGGCAGCCTCTCTTGCCCCACCCTGCAATGTTGCTTCTGATAGACACAGCAGCGCAGGGTGGGGCAAGTGGCACAATGGAGATGGTTCCTGCTTCTCCCGCTTGCTGCCTCTGATACAGAGGCAGCAAGGTGTGGGGGAACAAGTAGTCGAATAGTCAACTCAGGTACTTGCTTACATCCTTAGTCCACACTGCTGAGACTAAGCATGAGAAATATCATGACAAAAGATTTTTGGAGAAAGCAGTAGTCTAAATTTGGGCTTGGAATTAGCTTTCATTTTTGACTATGGGGTCCCTTCTGAATCCATAGGTAATATTTAACTTTTTGTATATGGACGTATACGTTTTGTTCATGCAAATATGCTCACTGTAGAATTGTTCATTCTAGCAGTAGTTCATTTTATAGCAAAAAATCATCTATATTGTCTACACTAATTATTTATGCAAAAATGTGGGAGTCATCTACATATTTCTCCTTAATGTCAAGGTTTTTCATACCTACGTACCAATTTTCTAGTTTCTGTGGGCTGTATTGTCAAGAATTCTCCACGGTAAAGCTTCATTGCACAGGACAAAATCCTGTTTTCAGAACAATATTGCCACGTGGGAAAATGTGCACCAACTCAAGCAGAATAGGGTTCGAATCTGTCTGTGTACAAAGGCATTGGCTTATCAGGATTACGATAGGGCCAAAAGTGCTGCAGAAATTTGTCAGTGTTAGCTGAAGCTAGGCAAAGGGGCAAAATTTAGGAGAACAAACTGGTGGAGTTGTGGTTAGAAAAGCAGCCAGGCAAGGATTAAAAATACCATTTAAAGAAACTCCCTTCCACCCAAGCTAGAGGAACATTGCACTGCCAGGCATGTTCAGCAACCCATATGGAGTCCCACAATCTGGACAGGTTCTGTGCTTGTAGCACATAAGAACTGAGGCCTTCCTCAGCAGCAGTAGTCCGTGCTTGTACCACAGCTCATTAGCTGCACTCCCAAAAGCTGGGAAAGACTCCCCAAACCAGGGCAGGACATAGGGTGAAAATGCTGTCTTCCTGTTACCCCAACATGGGAGTGGGGTCTCCTTGCCAGTCCGATAACAGAAGAAACTGTGGGATTGAGAGGCCTCATCTATCGATCTGTCTGCAACTCCAAAAGAGGACAGTTGTCTTCCCCCAGCTGTATTTTCATTGTGGGTGCCCCCTTTTGAAACTGAATCTTTGTTTGAATCCAGGCTTCATTATTTCCACCAGAAATGGTAGGTGAGCTATTTCCCCAAGAAATTTTGTACCTTAAAAAGGACATTCTTGTATATGTACTGAGATTCTTAAAAGAAAAGCATTCTTTCACTACATCCAACCATTCCACAGAGAACTATTAGAGAGTTGCTGTCATAGTGTTTATACTATGATATAAACATACAGTCATGTTTCAGCTTTGTTCATTTTAAATGTAATGTCATGATCTCTCTCTCTCTCTGTGATATATGTGACATGTGTATGTCACTTTATGGATGTTGTTATCCATTCTATTTACCATAAATAGGTTTAAAAAAATGTGGTTCCGAGCCTAACCGCGAGGTTTTGCAAAACATGATTTCAGGATAGAGACTATAGCTCATAGAATCAGTAAGAAATATACTTTGTCTGCTGCTTAGTGTGCCAACATTTCAGGTTTTGGATGAATGGCTGAATTTGTTATATGAAGATGTTTCAATTAAATCTGATTCTAAGAAAAGTTGAATTTCATTGTAGTTTAAACAGAGCTGAATGGAGTTCAAATTACCGAAGTTTGGACTATGATTTTAAGAATGGCTAAAACACCAGTGTGTATGCCATGAAATAAATAGATGGAAGTTTTAAAGTGTTTTGTTTACAGTTAGATGTGCGATTCTCACAAGTTGCTGTCATTTTGCTTTTTATTCCAGGACTCTGAGTCCCTTGACACCTGCATCCAGAACACACTCTCTGCATTATACCCTCCTTTCGAGGCCACAGCTGCCACTGTCCTGTGGCAACTTTTCAGCATAGTTGAAAAGCTGTATCGAGGAGATGGCCTCAGGTGCCTAATTGATTTTCTTGTCCCTGCCAAGAGAGTCTTACAGTGGATTCAGCAAGAAACCTGTGTAAGTATAGCTGCTCTGGCAAAACAGAGGCCCCCTTTGTTCCTAACTTGGGAAAAAAGATAAGATGGAATTTAATCTCTGAACTAGAGAGCTCTTTAAGTCTAGCAAATAAAATTTTGGATAATCATGGAACAATGCAAATTGTGAAGGTACCAAGGAGAACGGTGAAAGAGAATTATTTACCAGTCTTTTTAAAACTGTGTCTGAAAAAGAAGTTAACTTGTGAAACATGAACAGGAAACTAGTTGCAATCTACAGAAGTTGTTGATAGCAAAATTTTGGAAAGAAAACATGGTGTTCTTTTTAACCGCTGATAATTTTAAATACTCCAGTGCAGGCTCAGAAATGATAGAGAACCAAGATCAAATACTTGCAATAACAAAAAATGTGTGTGTCTGGAAGGTATCTTCTTTTTTTTTTTTTTTTTTTTAAAGTCTGCATCTGTTTTTTTTCCAAGCATCTGCATAATTTAATATTCACACATGCTCCTTCTTCTGCTTCTCGGCTCATTTCTATACCATATACTCATTATCTATTTTGCAGCTCATTTATCTACTGCTGTTACAGTTTGAAACACTAAGTCTTCTGGTGTTGCGATACTATAGCAAAGAAGCCTCAGAGGGTAGCCGTGTTAATCTGTAACTATAAAAACAAAAAGGAGTCCTGTGGCACCTTAAAGACAGATTTATTTGGGCATAAGCTTTCGTGGGTGCCCAAATAAATTTGTTAGCCTTTCAGGCAGGAGTGGGGAACCTCAGGCCCGGGGGCTGGATGCGGCTTCTGGCTTGCCTGGATCCAGCCCTTTAGGCTCATGGCACCCTGCATTGAGGAGCTTATGCTGGCACTCCAGCCCACCTGCTGCTTTACCACGGAGCTGGAGTGCACAAAATCTACTAGGCTGGACCCCCCCCAGGCTCTGGTGTGCAAGGGGAATGTGGGGGGGAGTGTCTTTACTCTTCTCAGTCAGGGCAACATATCACTGAAGGGTTTTCTGTATGTTTTTTGCTTTTTTGTGTTGCCCTGACTGATTTTTCTGTGGGTCAGTGGCCCCGGACCCAGAAAAGGTCCCCTCCTCCCTGCTTTAAGGTGCCACAGGACTCTTTGTTGTTGTAGCAAATATGTTATTTCTTCTCCAAGCTGGCTAAAATCCTGGCTAGGGGTGAGTCTGGAGTATGGAGCTGGCTACGGCAGTACAGTCCATTTGGGGTCATTGACTGTAGAGGTGTAAGTCCTGAGGCGTGGCATCCCCAGTGCTGGAGGAGGATTTTTGGACAGGATTTTTGGAGGGAAACTTAGAGGACTTAACATTCTATCTCAGCACTTCTGGCTGTCCTCTCCGACGTGATACAGCTGTTAGAGAGTCAAGACCCAGAAGAACTGCCATTGCAGGCAAATGGCAAATAGAGGCACCCTATCAGGCCCTGCACACTCCATATAAGACACCTCTCTCTCTTGTTGACTATCTTCTGTGTCTGCAGCAGTTCCTCAGAGCTCACTGTATTCCTAGTGAACACTGTGAGCTCCATGATGGAGGAGAGAAGAACACTAACTGATGGACGGGTGCTGGAGGATGGTGCACCAGTTCCCACACCTGATCCTTTCCCATTTGGCAACTGATTGCCCTGCTTCTCCCATACCTAGGCCCAGATCACCTCAGACCATGGGTTTTGAGCATGGTAGAGGAAGGATACTCAATGCAATTCCAGAGCAGAAAGCAGCTTTGCATGAACTCACCACATCCACAGTTTGGTCCCACACCATGCTGCATAGATGCAGCTCTCATCTGCCCCTGTTCTATGTTCAGTCATGCCATCCTCCAAGTTTTAATTATTTATCAATTGAATAGTGTCCCTTTTGGTGCCTAGCAGCCAGGAATTTCTCTTTATTATGGTGGTACCAACCTGAAAAATAATGGTACTGGGTGTCTGGATTAGCCTTTCTTTCAGACATGCAATGGAGTATTCAAAGGCAGAATTTTAGGAACCCATGCCTCCAGAATGGGAATGAACTCCCTTTTCCTTCCTGTTCTTCAGCACTAGTAATATATACATTGGTGAAATCTGATTTTCATTTTCCCCAAATTGTTACATGCTGTTTGAGATGTTCAGAAACTGTTAATTGTTGTCTCTTCTCTGGGTAGTCTTTTCCACCTGTGTAGTTTCATTTACAGTTCTGATGTGTTTACAGTGGTAAGAGTATCAAATACTTAATCCTGCCTCAGAGCTTGAGGAAAGTGCAAATTATGCAGACATCGACTTTCAAAAGTGCCAGGGGGTGCTTGACCCCTTGCTCTGCCCCCAGCCCTGCCCCCACTCCAACCTTTCCACCAAAGTTCCACTTCCACGTAACTTCTTCGGGCCCCCATCCTATCCCTGTCCTGCCCAATTCTGCTCCCTCCCCCAAGTGTGCCGCATGCTTGCTCCTTTCCCTCACCTCCCAAATGTCACCAGACAGCTGATCGTGGTGGAACGGAGGAGGAGGAGGTGCTGTCCCATGGGAAAATGAAATGGGCAGTGTTGGGAGTTAGGAGTGAACTGATAAGAGGGCTTCTGGTGGGTGCTCAGCACCCATCAACTTTTCCTCATGGGTGTTCCAGCCCTGGCGCATCCCCAGAGTTGGCACCTATACGTAGATGATCTTTTGAGGTCCTTTCCAGCCCTACATTTCTATAACATCTACAAAGTTGCTGTCCAACTGAGCTGTTGCCTGTCTGGTTTTGTCCTGTTACGCTTGTAGAAATAGAACTATCAGAATCTTATTTGGGGGTAAGGCAATATCCCATGTTTATTGTGAAGGCAGAATTCATTTACTGTCTCCGCCTACTAAAATGATCCACCACACATACACACACTCATAGACACAGTTCTGCAGATGGGATATAATTACCAGCTTCAGTTGGTCACGATAGTCCACTGGCCAGGTGGTCTAGTCCTGAAGAGAGGAGCTGGGTTATGTTGGTTCGTACCAATGCTCCTGGAGGATGATCATAAAACCAAGTGTGGCTCATTAACTTCTCCCAGAGTGCTAGAAAGTCTGGACTATCTCTCAGGGTAGAGGTGATAGGAAGTTAAGACCAAAGAAATCCAACAGGAGCAGACAGTAGGCAGGAAGCGTTGGCTTAAGCTGAATTTTAGGTTGTTTATTGTCAGACAAGCCTCCAATGGAGGGTGAATTCAGACACTAGGTCAGAGTGTACTTTTGAGGATAAAGGTAGAGAATTAGATCACTAATAGACCGCTTTTCCCACCCTTGATGATGTCTTGCCTTCAGTCAAGCTATGTTACAGCTGTATCTGTAGACTTCTGTTCTCAGCTGAGGAAGGAATTGAATCACCATCCTGCTTAATCATTCCTTAGCTAGTTATTGGAAGTGCTCCAAAGTAGATATGACTTGAGTAATGGATAGCTTATGTACTTGGTTTTGTTTGTTTTTATTGTAGCATATTTTGTTTTGATGTAGGGTTTTTTTTGGGCACGGAGTTTTGTGTATATTTTTCCATTACATGGGAAAATTATACATAGGTCATTCTTTTAAATATATTTTAGCACCTAGAAATGTGTTGCATTTTTTGTTTGTGTTTTATTATGTGGCTTTGCTATAGGTAATAGCTTTCATTTAACAATTTTTTAAGAGCCTTAAATACTTAAACAGAAGTATTCACTAACAAAAAATGGTTGCTAAGGTGAACATTGTGGGCATGAATGTATCCGTTCTGAATATATACTTTCTCCTCTCTCTCACACACACTCCCACTCAGACACCCACTCCCACCACCAGCCGCACAAACCCACAGAGTAACTCCAGAAGTTTAAAGTTAAGGCTGCTCTTATAAGAAACCCAAATATTTGAAATGATGAAAATTCCCAATTAAAATAAATAGCCAAACTACATTAACTCTGCACTTGTAGAGATGTCAGGCTACCACCTTCCCTCCTTTGCAGATGAAGCATCAAAAGTAGATGACAAAAACTGTTAGGGTTTATAACAGGCTGCATCCCCACATGACTCCAATATGAAGTGTTCTGCTTTGTCACCACATAAATGTGTTGCTTTTTTTCATGCAAGTTGCAAGTACTATAATTTTACAGCCAGGGAGGTTTTTATAAAACCTTCCTTGATCAGTGTCTAATGATATTTATATAACGGTTTGGGCATGCAGTGCTTAAGGTAATACAAATAGTAGGAAGGTGCTCTTATCACACCAGCTGTGGAGGAAGAGGAGCTAAGAGTCTCTTTTCAGCAGAGGAGGAGCAATGTGCCTTGTCAGTCCCCTTTTATTTTTAATTCATTGTCATGTGAGATCACAGGGCCAGATCTTACAGGATTCCAAATACACACTCAGATCTTACTATGATTTGGTCCTTAGTGAAGAGTGGGGAATGGCTGTTTTGGTCATGAATTTGAAATTTTTTTCTGTAGACTGTATATTAATGTATCTAAGACGTAGTTTTTGTTGTCAGTGAAAAGCTGAAACTGTAATGGGGTAGAGATAAAGTAGTCTGGGTTTCTCAGGATATCACTGTAGGGGCAGAATTAATGTAGTTTGAGTACGATAACCATCATTTCATATGGAAAATGACTCTGTTTTATGGGTTTCTGACATGGTGTTTTGTTTGTTTATATTTGATTTTAACATTCTTGAAAGGAAATCTACGTTCCGTACACTGCTACCTTAATACAGAGATATCTCCCTGAATATCCTGTTAACAAGTGTGTCAGCAAAAAACCCTCCCACCTCTCCTATTGTTGCCCAGAGGGTCACTCACATGGAATTGCCCTTGCCACAGGCTGCCTGTGAGCATTTGTGAGGAAAGATGAACCAGTTCCCTGCTCTTCCTCCTGTCTCCTGCAGCTTACTAGGTCCCATCAGGTCTTTGTGCACTGTCCTTCCCACTTCCTTATCAGCTGGCTTTATTAGGCTCTTTGTAGGCTTCCTGACTCCATATCCTGTAAACCTAATGTTCATAGGCCCTGGTGAACTTCTTGTGGTAAAGAGTGGT